GTAAAGAGAGAATAGACCTTTCCCTGTTTTCATGACAAGCGCTCAGTAAAGCCACGCTGACTGGCTGATTTACACAGAGCAATCCCCCTAACACCACAGTTAACATTACAGCCAGAAGTCAGGGTTCAAGAAAACTATTAAAAAGGCCCATGCCACAGAGGCTTTAAGCTTCACTGCTGCAGTGGGAAGGGCAGGGCAGGCACCCAGGTAAGAGCCAGGACCAGAGCCTGCTGCAGGAGAGGTGGGCAGGGGGAAACCCTCTCATGGCTGCCACTGCGGGCAGCAGCATCCCCCTTCCTGTACACCTGGCCACCCGCAGCTGGTGGGAGTTTGCTTTCAAAGCCACAGCAATGCACTGAAATTGAAATGGGAGGCAGCAGAAAGGGAATAGAGAGAAAACAGCCCTCTGAAACCCCCCTGAGAAATCTCTTAATGGGCTGAAAATTGCCCCTTGATTTTGCCCTATTTAACATGTTTCACAGGGTATGACTTTGATATTGATGGAAGATTACATCAGTTTAACTTAAGTGAAGTAACTGAACAGCTACAGCTCTAAAGATAAACATTTCTTTAATTCTGGTGCCTTTTATTAGGTTGAAGTACTAAAGCCTCTGACAGCAGTCTAGGCAGAGAAGCCCACGAAGAAAGGGCAGGAGACACCAGTGCAAGGACCCTGCCATTTACATCTCTCCCTCTCCTCCTGTATTTTGTATTACCTAGTTACTGCCTAGGACTTGGAAGCCTGTATCCATGGGGCTGAATTATTTCCCCTCCTGCATCCTAGTCTCTATCCAGCTCTTGGTCACAATAAGAAGAGCTGTTTTCACTGTAAACTTCTCAAGAGTTAACAAAGCAGCACAATTAATTTGAAGCCGAAAGGAAAAGGCATCTTCACTTGGATGCTCAAAACTCTTCCCGGAATAAGAGACCAAAGTTTGCCTCACCTGTTGGGTATGATCCAGAAAAAAACAGGACCATCTGCTACCATCAGGTTGATGGCAGCCAACCCAGTTGTGGCTAATTTATGGAAGCCAAAACTCCATACAAGTAGGTGGGTATGCAGTTCTGAGACCAGTTCTGCCACTGCAGGAAGACATCACACTACAAGCAGGAGATGCCCAGAGGAATCTCTAGTAAAAACCTAGAAGGTACAACACTGTATAAAGTAAACTTAATAAGCATATGTTGAAGCAGGGGAGTCTAACCTCAATCACATCCAACCCAGTGCTTGGTGGGCTTCTGTGCTCTGGTTTTGGATTGTCACAGACTCCTGCTTCACCAGAGTCACCTGGGTAAATAACACTAAACCTAAAATACTAACATTAGTATTACAGTATACTAATACTAGTATTAGTATTTTAGTGTAGAAAACAATGAGCAAGAAAAAAAAGACTCCACTTCAAATATAAGCCTCCCCGGGCAGCCCACAGCCCTGAGTTTCTAAAAATATTGTTCGCACACAGAGTGAACAGTGCACAGATGGTCCGCTCAAAACAGCATACCTTTCTAGCATTTTTCTTTGGACATCTTCATGGTGGCCCACAAGAAACACAAAGAATGAAGAAAACCCAGATCCCCAGAAGACCAAAGGGAACAACCACAGCAGTGATCAGGTCAGCATCAGAATAACTCATACTTTATACCACACTCGGTGCTGCTGCTTCCACACAACAGCATCAGAAGTGTTCTTTTTATCCTCATCCATTTTGGACAACAGTTGATGTAGTCCCCACTCAGTTCCAAGCTTTTGGGACCTTGGCCATCTTCAACACCCTTCCTGGCTCATCAGAGTTTCATGGAGGAAGGTCTACAGGCAAGGTGGGAATCTGTGGGCCAGTGGGAGGCTGGCAGTCCATAGGTCACAGCCAGGGAACCATGGTACTAAAGAAAACACCGGTCTGTAACAACTGAGAAAATAAAGATCTGTATCTCAGCTATCAAGGTATTTGAAACTACACACACCTTCAAGAACTTGAGCTGGGGGATGGTGTCAAACACCGCAGATCTGCTTTCCCATTTGGCCTCTTGTCATACATTTAATCTGTCCAGGTGGTAAGCGAGCTTCCTCCTACTCCATGTCCACAGGCTTCCTGGTTGTCTTCTGAAAGGGACAGAAGTGATTTGTGACATGACGGTGCTCTGCAACAGCAAGTTGTTCCAGATGGCCTTTTCCCCTCAACTTGCAGCACGGTTGCCAAGACAGAAGTGGCTGATGTGAGGCCATGCTCCTTGTGAGCGGTCTCAGGTCTGCAGTGTGGAAGTACTTAAGAACATTATTTGTAATCCCTGGATGCAAGAGACAGAAAGGCTTGGGGCCATTTCCAAATATTCATGTGAGCCATAGATCTTGAAGTGAGAGCACACAACAGTTCAGTGCACGTTTTGGTCTTAAGAAGGGGTTATGTCTGCATGACAACCAAGTTGAACAAGTTCTTGAGACTGCAGAGAAAACTGGAGAGATACAAGTGACCAAACTTTAGAGAAGCGGTCAAGAGGGGTGGAGAGGAAAAGAGTTTTCCATTTACTGCCCTGTCATTTCAGCTTCTTTCTGCAGAGAAGTGTCACATTAAAACAAAAGTTATTAAACATCCCAGAAGGTTGTGAAACCTTGTGTAGCAAGCACTGGGGATTGATAAAGTCCTGACAGACAAGTCTGATCACATTTGACAGAATTACAGAAGTGGAGAAGCTAGAGATGAGTCTTATCTTCAATGAAGCAATTGACACCCTCACGTAAAAAAAACAAAACAAAACAAAACAAAACCAATCCCCCCGCAAAAAACCCAAACCAAACAGCTCCTTGGCTCTGAGCGCACCGGAGGAATGAGACCTGGCTGAGCGGCCAAAAACAAAGGTTGAGGAGGGATGCATAGGAAGAAGAGGCAGAACAAGAGAGGGAAGACACTCCTGAGATCTAATCTCCTAGAGGAAGATGAAGCAAGTCACACGAAAGCGCTTTGAACATTTGTCCAGGTGCCAAGGCTCTGATCCTGCACAGTTAAGCAGATGCTTAACTCGTGCCCTTCAGTAGCCCTGTTGAAGTCACACAGGCTCTTCACACAATTCCCGGCAGTCAGGGCCAAGCTGACAGCTGGGAACTCAGACCGTTGCCCTCCCTCCCTTCCTCCCTCCCAGCAGCAGAGAAGCGTTCAGGCGCCTCTGCCATTAGCTCAGAAAGTTCGATCCAGCCCTTCAGCGTTCTGCCGGGGCGCCACCGGCGGCCGTGCAGCACCCGCGGGCGCTC